CACCGCATCAGAAAGGCACTGGGGCGCACGAGGATGGATCTTACAACAGCCGACCGCCGCCTTCGGGGGAAATCGCGCAATCGCTCTCCTCGAATCGTCGACCCCGAGCGGCGGCAGGCTCGCCCAATCCTTCGAATCGCCCGGCGACCCCAAATCGTCGCCAGAATGAATGGTCCAAGCATGGGGCCACTCGCGGCGCGCATCGTCGGCAGGCCCGGAAGGTTGGATCGGTGCTCCTCGGCGGGCAGCTGTGGCCCCGTCCGGGAACGCCCCCCTGGCCCAGGACGTCCAGGCCCCCTCTTTGATGGCCAAAACCACTGCCTCCTTTTCCTGGGCTAGGGACAGAACTCGCTCAATCAGATCGGGCGTAGGCGGATCACCTATCACATCCACTCCAGACCTGGAAAACCTCCCCGCCAGCACGTCGAGGTGGGCGAACACCCAGTCGAGCCTCTGGATCCTGCCGAGGAAGGCCTTGGCGTCGACCAGAACCTTGGCAACGCGCTTCAACCTCCTCGGCGGCTCGCCCAAGTCCGCGTCAAGGTTGGGAATGCACGACTCCAGCACGATGCGCACACTACGCAGATGCCTGGCCCGCCTGGCCGCTGCACTCCACGCCGAATACTCGCGCGATGGTCGAGGCTGTCGACGCTGTGGGTCTGCACGGAGCGTCTTCCAACGAGCTCGGCGCCCCCCAGCTCTGCCTTCGTAACCGTGGCGGCGGGGTCCAACAACATCACGTCGGTCCAAAAGCTCAGCCTCGATACCCTGAACCGTTAAGTCCAAGATACCTGCCAACTGACCAGCTGCCGTGGCACGTTGAATATCATCATGGAACTGCTTCCAATCACGTGGAAACCGCCAACAACCTGGCTTGGCCAGTGCAGGAAAAGATTTTGGTTGAACAGCAACTCGGCACCACAAGACTGCGTCTTCGGCGTGCACTTGCACCAGCACAGGCCTATGTGGCCAGATCGTCGCAGCGCCCAGCACTGCAATCATTCCAGAACGGATGGCAAACCCCTCAGACATGATGAAGTAATCAATCGTCGTACCTGGTTTATCTGAATACATGCGGGCGCAGACGGCGCCGCCAGAACTCCTCCTATAGAAGTCGCCCATGGCTGCATCTGAGCGCGGCCCATGTTGTAGCCAGCTACAACAATCCACCCATACCCAAGCGCTCGCACTCTGAGCAGATACTGAGCCAACGTCGTGAACAATGCCATACTAGTCTGTCCCATCTCTCCGCTGCCGTGGAGATAAGCTGACACTGCCACGAAGCCCCCTTTGAACCGAGTGCGCACTAGCGCCGCAAAAATTCTCTCGTCCAACAGCACACCTTTGGCGTCTGCCAGCAGCAGCCCAGCCGTCACCTGCACCATCTTCGGCGCAATCACCGCCACGCCACCGCTTGTGCCATGCCCGTGGCCAGTCTCCTCGGCAGGGGCCCACGCGCCGTGGCAGCCGAGACATGATGCGTCCTAGAAAGGATCCCATCTTCGCAGCCGTGACGTGATGCCCCTGTACGCACATGATAGGCTGCTTACCTCCAAGCACAGGAGCATCGGCCTCGAACATCTCGGCAAGCGGATTAAACGACGTAGCGCTGACAGTCGCAATGCGCGCCATGATGCCGACAAAAGAGAACAAGCACACATACATACCAATCAACGCCAACTGCCAGCTACGCCGCCTTGTGCCGCTTCGCGAACGGCGACAACATGGCACCCGTCCTCTGCCTCACGCAACTCAACTTCATCCGGCACCTGCTGCTCGACCGAGCGGAGGAACTCTCGCAGCACCTCTGAATCGTCGGCCCCCGGCGGGATGGCTTGCTCCCAGCGCTGCCAGTGCTCAGCCGTCCCAGCTGCAGCAGCCTGAGCGGCCTGCTCGGCCTCCTGCTGCTGCCGCTGCCGCTGCCTCGCCTCCTCGGCGGCGCGGCGCTGTTGGGCACTGCGCAGTTCCTCCGCCGCCTTCGCCTCAGCCAAGCACTCGAACAGCTTCTGCGCCAAAGCCGGTTTGCCACCAAAACCCTCGAGCAACTCGCCACACTTCTCGACCATGAGGTTGCTGGCGCGGAGCTGGATGAGCCCCTGTGCGCCGTCGCCAATGGGCTTCTCAAGGGCCCGTGGCGCGCCAGCCACCAACTGACACCGCTCGGCCTCCAACTTTGTGAGTTCGGTGACTGTGGCCTGGAGCGCCTTGGCCGCGTCCTCCACTGCCTTCTGCGCTTCTGCCACTACCTGCTTTAGCTCCTCGACCACTTCGGTCTGGCGCTGCCGCTTTTTGACCAACTTCGTGTGCTGAAAGGACATCTCTTTGAGCCGCGTGTCCAGAGACATGCCGCGAGTGATCTGAACTCGCAAGGTGGTCTGACGCGCTCGCAACTTCTCCCGGGGCTCACCGAACTTTGGGCCTTCCACACCTGCAACTTCTGCAGCTTCTCGGAGGCTGCCCCGAACTCCTCGCGTAAGTCTGCGTCGCTGTCCTTGCCCTCGTCGGCATCCATGGTGTCGCCGTCGGGTTTTGTTGCGACCTCCTTCTTCCGTAGCTGCGTGACTTCATCGCGCAACCTCTTGAGCTTTGCAGTGAGCTTGGGGTCGGGCTGCGCTGGGGCCTTAAGCGCCGACACAGAGGGAGTGGTTGGCTGCCCGGTCCCTGCAAATGCTGACGCCTTGGGCTGCTTGCATAACGAGCAGTGATCGAGATCCGCTCTGTTCCACCACCTGTCGCCAGTCTGGTGCGACCAGCACTGCTTGCAATACTATGGCTTGGCCCACGCCTGGCGCCTCCGCTTGTGACCTGAGGGTGGCGCGCAGCCTTGAGAAGCATGAGAGGGCGCCATGGGCCTTCCGTACACGAACGTGGAAAAAAAGAAATCGTGTTGTGCTCAGGCGGGAAACCCGCGCACAGCACACGGTATGCAGCAGCGCCTGCAGGCCTGGGCAGGCCACTCGGGAGACGCGAGAGCGGTCGGGGGCCGCACCTCCCCCACGCCAGAATCTCAAGTCCTGAGCGAAACACGACGGCCTTGAGCCAAATGGCTACGGACGGGCTCCCCGAAGTCCCAGAAGAGGAGGAGAGCGGAGAAGGAGAATGATGACCTCCTCTTCCTACACCGTACACCGAATGGAGGAGGGGGGGAAGGAGAGGACGAAGAAGAGGGAGAAGATGGAGAAGGAGGGGGACGACGACAAGAAGGAAGAGGGCGAGGAAGGAGAGGAAAGGAACGGGGAGTGGGGACGGGGAGAACGAGGAGACGGGAGGATGGGGAGGCGGAGGCGGGGCAGAGATCAGCAGGAGAACGAGGAGGATGAGGACAGGGGAGGAGGACGGGAAGGAAGGAGATGCGGAGGCGAGAGGGGGGGGGGGCACCAAGACTCGTCCGCGGCGAACCGAGGAAGGACAACGAGGAGCGCAGCGTACATATTAGCCGCACGGACGCGCAGCTGCTCCACCTCCTGCTGCCCCTCGGCCCCCGCCTGACCCTTCTGGTGCTCCCCGGGCCCATGCAGGACTTGACAACATTCCCTAATACAAACTGAAGACCCCACCCGCGATCAGCAGAATACAAGGTTCGCGAGCGTGGACCCAAAGCAGTGGGCGATCGCACGCTCGCTGTAAACTCTGCCTTGTCCAATTTGTGCTGTAGCATATGTCGTGCACTATACGTTGTGCAAACTATGTCCTTTACGATTGCTGTGCAATAACTGTGGTGCAATAGTTGTGGTGAAACGCACGCAATAGCATCTGCGTCGCGAAACATATGGGTTAAATCTAGGCTGAGCAAAATATGTGGTGCAGACTGTGAGACACCCTTTGTATTATTCAAGAAACGGGCGTCCACTGGGCGAAAACCCGAACACCCAGCCCATTGCGTAGCAGCGCAAGTAAGAACACCTTAGTAGTGCAAGCTTTGTTCGGTGAGCGAGCACCCACAGTCAGTGCGGACGCGTTGGGTAATCATGTCGAGAGTCCGATTGCAACCTTTCGTCTCAGAACATGTGTCTCACCCCCCGCATGCTCCCCTCATGCAGGTATGTGCATGAGCTCTGGATCATGATTCACGATCGGCACGCTCATTCAAATCTATTTCCTCGCGGTACGGACGCCGAGACGCGATCCCACGAATGCACGATCAAGTGGGTACGTTCTGAAAGGGGCATCCGCGCCAAGCCGCCCCGTGTCCATGGGGTCCTGGCCGAGGAGTGCAGACCACAAGGCCGTGAAGTCCAGACCACGAGGCTGTGGGTACGAATGTGCACCCCGCTCGCGAAGCACTGCACCCTCCACCAACACGCGCAGGGACCCACCTTGTGCAGGGGAGGCTCAAATGCAGCCTGTCAGAAGCCCAGGCTCCTCATCCTCATCATTGTCACTCTGATCATCGTCATCCTCATCATCACCATCTGAAGCATCATCATCCTCAGCGTCCTCCTCATCGTCCTCGTCATCCTCATCGCCATCACTATCATCCATCACCTTCACCATCACGATCACCATCGCGATCATCACACACAGACAGCACCAAGAGGGATGTGAGCGCTCCTCAAGAAGCGAAGACGAAAGGTGTCAGATGTGACAGCTGTCCTCCTCCACATCAGATGCTCCCCAGAACGGCCCAGCATCAGTAAACCGTACACAGATTTTGCGTACCTTATCCATCGCCACTAGCTCCCACGCCTCCACCGTGCACGTTGCACTCGCCGCCGAGCATACTGGACCGACACGGCGGCGGGACTTGCTGCAGGCAGCTGGATATTGCGAGAGGGAGGCCCTTGACCAGACGCCCTCGGAGCGACATCGAACGAGGCCCTGTAATTTCCAAACGGGCGGCAGAGCTCAAACTTGTGTCCGTCGCGGGACGCCCAACGCAAGCATCGGCGGTGAGGCAGAGGGCGAACTGCCCAGTATGACAGTCAACGAACGGCCCTGCACAGTGATTCCCATCGAGGGAGGGCGGGGCCAACTGCGCGACGTCTGCAGCAAGGGCCCGCCTCGGTGAAGTCGATCGAGGTGGTGATGTCCTGCAGGCCTGGGCACTCCAGGTAGGACACCTGCGGCACGCGCCCGAGACGGAGCACGGAGGCGAAACGAACCATCCCGAACGCAAAGCACGGGAGTCCAGCCTGCAGCTTTGCAGCCCGAGCGCCGGAGCACAAACACAGTGCAATGAGCGCAGTGAAGGGGTGGTGTCCGCTGCAGCGCTTGTCCTGCTGTCTAAAGAGCGCCTGCAAAAACAGGTGCCGGCTGGCTCTGTGAAACGCATCTCGACGAGCGCGTTCCGCTGCTCGCAGGGTAGCAACTCGCAAATGGCCTGGATCCCCCGCGGGGGATCTACGATAGACTACGTCAGAGCAGCCAGGTGTTTTCCGGACGCTTGCGAGCAGGCACTCTGCGAGTCGTGGAATCGCGCTCGGCGAGCCTCGGGCCAGCTTGGCACGGCCGAGGCCCCCGAGGCATGCTTTCCCCCGCACCGCCAAATCGGAGATGGACAGACCTCCCTTTAGTAAAACATGGTTTAGTGAAAACGACCTGAGGCCCAAACCTGGCGGGCGCAGGCCTGGAAAATAACGGCCACTGCGCCCTCTCGAGAACCGAAACCGGACAATTCACTAATCGACGTGTCAGGGTAGGAGGTCTGTCCACCTCTGACAGGACGGCCCCGCTTCATCCCGATCCGGTGTCCCGCTCCTGGATTCGATATCAGAGTCAGGTCGGGCATGTCCCCCCCTGCGGTCGGTTCCTACGGCGTCGGCACGCGCGCAGGCTTCTGCCACCGCGTCGGTCGTTCAACCTTGCATCAATCCCGGCCCCGATCGCTCGAGGATGAATTCAATCGGGTCCAGTGGCGCTACCATGTCCATCGGTGCTCCCGCGTCGCAGCATTACACCTTGAACGCCGTCGCAAGCGTCGCCAGCGCGCCAACGCCGCATGAACCTACCGTTCAGGGGGACTGAGGATGAAAGATGGTTGTAAAAGACTCCAAAAATGCTCCAAGAATAATAAAAGATCGTCCCCACACTTTTTTTGTTGTTACTATTTTTTACTACTCCTCCTGTAGAAGGACACGCCCGACTTAGCATTAGAGAAACAAGAACTGGCATAAACATAATTTCTCGGAGGTCCGCGCGGATTTATTGGATCGGCGCTGGACTCCGCTCACTGGCGCGCTTAGCGCGCCAAGGGGGGCGTCGGAGGCGCCGTCAGGGGGGCCTCAACACCGATCCAGGGAATCCACGCGGAGCGTCGAAAGTTTATGTTTATGCGTTTTTTCATTCAAGTTCTTGCCATCGCTCGGATGCTGACTCCCTGCGCATGTTTCGGCTTCGCGCGCTTATTTTTCGCAAGATGATCCAGGATGCTCCTCGATGCCCCTCGCCACGAATACATGCACACGTCCTAGCGATGTCAATAGTTTTAGGCCGGAAAAAGAGAGAGAGAGAGAGAGAGAGAGAGAGAGAGAGAAAGAGAGGGGCAGGGAGAGAAAAAGAGAGAGAGAGAGAGAAAGCGCGGCGCGGTCACTTCCTGTAGCTCTCGCCTTAGCGCCGCACACATCCGTTTCATAAATGTGGCTCTCGCTGTAGCCAAGCGCACATGTGTTTCAAAGCTTTGCGAGAGCTTCGAAGAGTTTGCCTAGGTCATTTTCAAAATGTGGTTCTCGACTCAGCGCCGCGATGATTGTTCAACATCTGTAGGAGTTTCAATGATTTAAGGCGGCTCGTTTGCAACATGTGGTTCTCGCTTCAGCGCCGCGCACATTCATTTCAACCATTTGCAAAATCTTCTAATATTGAGCACAGGTCGTTATCAACATGTGGCTCTCGCCTTGGCGCCGCGAACATTCGTTCAAACCAATTGCAATACATTCACTTGTTTTCATGGCTAACGTACCAGATACGGTGTTGTGGAATGATTCCGCATTGCCAGGGCACGACAGTTACGCGTATTCGCGTCATTGAAGTCCCAAGAGTGGTGTTCTGGCACGATTCAGGATCGTCAGGATGTAACCGTCATTTTGACTGTTGGCGTTGACCTCCTGAGAATGGTGCATTGGCATGCTTCAGGGCTTTCACACATTTGCTCCCCAACGGGACACTTCCCTCAGTGGAGATGAACGCTTGTAATGGGCCTATGAAAAGGGCGCTTGGAGGGAGGGTGTCTTCCAACTCGTTGATGAGCCTTGGGTTTGCACTGCGCCTCCTCCTCCCCTCCTCCTCCTCCTCCTCCTCCCCTCCTCCTCCTCCTCCTCCGCCTCCTCCTCCTCCTCCTCTCAAGACTCCTCCTCCTCCACCACCTCCTCCTCCTCCTCATGCCTCCTCCTCCTCCTCCTCCTCCTCCTCCTCCTCCCTCCCTCCCTCCCTCCCTCCCTCCCTCCCTCCCTCCTCCCCCCTCCTCCCAAGGCTCCTCCCGCCCCCCCTCCCCGCGCCTCTGCCTCGGCTCCCCCCCCTCCGCTCTGCTCCCCATCCATCGCCCCCCCCTCTCTGCACGCACCC